TTCAAAATTGCACACCCTGTGAGGAGCAGGCGTGCGGCCTTGAGGAGCGGGCGCTCCTGGCTGCGGACTGGGCAAACTGCTCAGCTTCAAATGATCATATCTCCCACGTTTTACATCGGAATTGAGCATATGACCTGTCGTTGGAAAGCTCTCAAGATAAGCTTTCATATCCGATTGGAATCGCCCCAAAATGTTTTGTAGATCAAAAGATATAGGCGTTTGAAGTATGATCTTTGCAAATCAAGTGCACATTTCTTCATTACTTGTTCTTTTATGCTTTATATTTCTTCAATCTTGAGCAATGAACTTATCCAAGTGTTCCTAAACATAAGAGTAAACCAATAAAGTTTAATCTAATGTCATAAGCCACCAAAATATGCAAGAAAAGCCAAAATTGAGCAATAACGACATTTCACACATAAACATGACAAATGTAGTAAAACGTTATTAAAACCAAGTAAAAAGATAGAAAAACTATGAAAAACTAACTAGAAAACTCCTAAAAATAGCGACATAAATGACACTTATCAGGGGCAGAACAAGCGGAGGTTTACCCTTAGCAAATTAGCTAAGTTGGAAATTTGAGTTAGTTCGAGCCAATGGCCGAATGAACACTTATGTTTGCCAATTTTGGATGGACGTCTGCCGCGTGGTTTGGGGCAATCACCATAGTGATTGATTGACTTAGAAACCATGCATACTCTTCTAAGTATCAAAAATTTCTAAGTCAATCAATCCAATAAACCGAAACCACTCGACATCCGTCCAGGGGCAAGAACATTCGCATGGTATACAGGTTATAATACTTAGCCAAAAACATGCCATGAAAAATTCAATATGCAAAGGACAACAACAATATGGATAACGTCAGCCAAATGGCCGAATGAATTAAATTAAAAAAACGACCAATCGTCACCTGACGATTGGTTAAGATTGTTATCTAGCAAAGCCAGAAAGATTGTCAAATTACCCGACCCCTCGGCCGGTAAAGATACAAATACTCGGCACACAGGCCAGAAAAGAAAAGTACATGGCCATTCGGCCGCAGAAAAGCATAAAAGCTTAAGTGATCAGGGGAGAGCCTCTTCAGTGGCAGCCGACTTGTCGTCCTTCGGCTGCTCTTCCTCCTTTTTCTCTGGCTCCTCCGCCTGATCCTCCTCCTCGCCACCAGAGGACGACTCCCCAGAAGAGTCGGACCCAGAAATTTCCTCGGCCTCAGCATTCTCAGCCTCTTCAATAAGGCGAGCGTCGAATGCTTTGCTGGCTTCGTCAAATTTGGATTTCCAAATCTGATAGTCCGAGTCCGGCTGTACAGCCGCCCAAGTTTCCCGCATGATGGCTTCATAATCGCTCATCATTTTCTTAACAAGAGTCTCTCTCTCTTGATCAGCCACGGACTCAAACTTGGACTTCAGCTGATGCTCCTGGTTGCTAAGGCGCTGCTCCAGGCGGCCCACCTTCTTCTTGGCTCTCTCGGCCTCTTCTTTGGCATCTTGAAGAGGCTCGAGCTTCTCCTTAAGAGTTGTAATCTCTTTCTTAAGGGAAGTGATGCGCAGGCGGGCCGAGTCCAGGTCCTTCTTCACCTGCATATTGGCTTCCGCCTGCGAATACATCATATCAAGCGTCAGATACTCATTCTGAGCAATATCAAATTGAGCTCGATCCAAGGCGGACTCGGCCCGAGCTTTAGCGACTGTTACCTCTTTGGATTTCTCCTTGAGGGGTTGCCTGAGCCCTTGGACGCGTAGCATGGCCTGCAAAAGAGCCGAATGGTTAAAACCAGGCGAAAAAAAAATTTGAGCTAAGACTCATACCTCGCAGAGGTTCCTCAAGATGCCATCCAAGTCAAAGGTGTCGACTCCTCTAACAGACGCCTTGTCGTCAGGATCAACCGCCCTCAGCATGGACTTGGCCATCTGGACTACAGTCGGCCTCTGCACAGGAACTGAGAAGGAAAGAAAGTTAGAAAAATAACTTAAAGTACATCTAAATGGAAGAACAATAGAGGCGAATGGGTTTTACCGTCGTCCTTCTGTTCCTCCTCTCTCCCTAGGCTCCTCTTCTCTCCTGCTGAGCCGACAGCAGTGGTGGGTTGCTTGAAGCCACCGTTCGATGCCCTCTGGGCATCCGGTTTGCTGATCTCCTTTTCAGCTTCGAGAGAAGAGGCGTCTGGGCCCTTCTTGGGCTTATGAGCAACGTGCTTCCGGCCGCCCTTGCCGGATGCGCTCACATCACCCGCCCTAGTCTTTTGGATTTTAGGGTCGGATGGTTTTGAAGGAGATTTGGAAGGCGCACCCTACATCAACACAAGATAAACGCAAGTTAGAAATCATTCGGGCAAATTTAATATTGGTTAGAAATGAATGTATAACAATTTTCTACCTTGGAGGTCCCGCCAGTTTTCTGCTCGTCCACTTTGGTGTGAGTGGTTACTTCTGCCCTGTTTAAGACATTCGACCTGTATCGAGCAGCAGATACAGCCGGCTTCCTTGTGGCCGAGAGCTTTTCCATTGCTTTGTCTGCAAAAATGAACAAGTGATTAGCATCATTAAACAAGTACTTAAAAGCAGAAGTAAATTGCATAAAAAATAGATGGCCGACTACCTCTCGGCATCTCAGAACTTAGCCCACAGGCGGATAAGAATGTCCCTTCTTCAAACCACTTGTACAAAGGGATATAGCATTGAGGGGTGACCTCCTTGTCCCCCTCATCATTCGTCCACACGGACACGGTAAACAACCCCGCGTCCATGATCTCCTCCTTTGCCCGCCTGGGAATAGGCGGCAATGCGCTCCTGTCTGCTAGGAGAGGTGGATCCTTATTCCACCTGTTATACTTTTGGTTCAGACGGCTGTCGGCAGACTTGACTATGTAAAACTTAGTCCTCCAGTCTTTCCACTTGTTCTCTTTGCCAACAACCATCATGTACCCCTTGCAAGTGGTCAAGGTGTACCAGCCTTCACCGCCCCTAGCAGGCGCCCTGCTCAGATAGTGCATGTGGGCGAACGCTTCAAAGCTCGCCTCCACCTGCAGCATCTCACAGGCGGCAACGTACCCCAGAATATTGATCCAGGAGTTGGGTACAAGTTGCCAGATACCCAATTGGTATCCGTCCAAAATCCTCTCCACGGCCGGATGGAGAGGGAAGCGGAGGCCAGCCTGGAAGGCCGCTTCATAGCAGCCGAATGCTTTGTCTTGATAGCTGGTCAGGCTCGACCAGGTTATGGTGTCGCCCTCGTTAGGGACCGGCAAAGTGTAGCCATAGCCTAGGATGACCTTGCGCCTTAAATTGGCAAGGTCGGATGCCATGGCGCTCCGCCTGCCTGGAGGAACATGCTGATAGTAGGGGGCTCTCTCTAAGCGCCTGGAAGCACTCGGCTCGGCCCAGCTTTCCCCCCTATCCACTGCCAGGGACTCTCTGGCAGAATCTATGTTTGATCTAGCCTCCTCTGAGGTTACGGAGGCATTCTCTGAAGAAGATAACGAGGCCGACTCGTCATCAGAGCTCTCATCAGAGCTAGGGGACCGCCGACTGGTGCCAGCGGGGTCCTCCCCTAGACTCTCTTCCGGTGCCTGTCCAGAAGGCTCGGGTTAATATTCTTCATCCGCCTCCCCCAGGATTCCATCACTGGGAGTTCCACTATATGTGGGCGAATGGTAATAAGTGGGGGTAGGAGGAAGATAGGAAAGGCTGTCAGGGTGTTCCGACAGCTCACTTCGAGGCACTCTTATTGAGTCGTCTGAAAAAACAGTCGACCCATCCGAATGGTAGAAAACTTCATCGGAGCCACACTGCCTTGCTGTTCTTTTGATTCTGGCCATAGTGTCCTGCACAGACACGGAAACGGTCGGATTCGGAGAAGTTCGCAAAGCAGGGTCTTTGGCCAAGCATTCGGCACTGCTAGTTCTAGATTCAGCCGTCCCTGGTGACCGGCTGATCACTATCCTACGCCGTGCCGCATGCAATTGGGGAGCCATTTTTTCGAAAACAAAGAAAAAATGAAGAGTAAAAAGAAAATACAGGCGTTACCTTTAGAAGAAGGGAGAAAGACGCCTGGTTGACTAAAGAACAGTCGAACTGGTAGCCGAGTGTCGGATGCTTGAAAAACGCTTAGGGAATTTTGAGATTCTTTAAGTTAAAAAGTCCAAGATTCTCCAGAGATTCGCCAAGGTGTGAATCCAATAAGGGGGGTCAAACCTCACTATTTATAGGAGGGTAAAACCCTAATTTTTTCCCTCCAGTAAATTTTCGAATCTGACCACTCAGATTCTGACACCTGTCACAGGAGTCACGTGCAATGCACGTGACCCTTGTGAGGGGCAAATGATTTGGGTATTTTATACCCGGCCAGGTAGCCCAATCAGAAAGTGCCACGTGTCCTCCATATAGGTGCCATTTGGACCTATGGAATGATGACACGTGGAGGGTGGACTCTTCTCCGTCCTACGTGGACTGAAGGTCAAGCAGGGACCATTCAGGTGGCGACACGTGTCACACAAAAAGTGCTTCAAAATCCATTGGGCACAGTGACACGTGTCACTCAGGCATTGGCCCTGGGATGACGGCCTTCTAAGGCCCAAATCCCGAGGCACCGCAAAACGGCGTGACCTAATTCCTAGGTCACCAGATCCTAGGAAGGCACACTTTTCAAAAGGACCCTATAAATAGGGACATTATGTCATTTATGACGGGGAGAGAATTTTGCACACGCAATACGAGACAATACGTCACTTACCACAGAGCTGTCGTTTTCAAGGAACACACAACACTTTACCTGAGCTTGGAATCAGCAGATAACTTTACTTCCACACGTTTTATCTCCGAACGTTTACTGACTTAATCTTCGGAGGTGGACCACCGACCATCCGGCGGTCCGTTTGCTTTGCAGGTACAGGCATCCTCAGTTGAATCCAGTTTCAGTGTTGTAACTCTCCCGAGGGACAAAAACCCCCGAAACACTAATAATGAAAACTGAAGCCATGAAATCACTCTCAAATAACTTTTAAACAACTAATAAGGGTACATTTTAGTATTGATAAGGAATTGAAGGGCACAACTTAAAAACTTGAAAAAGTATGGATACACCTTAAAAACTCGAATACCTTAAGGGTATAGTTTAGAAAAACCCAAAAAATTTTAATGACTTCCCTCTTTCCTTCTTAATATTACTCTTTCACAATTCCCTGATCTTAATTTTCCCTCTCTTAAAAACTCAGTTTCTCAGTCACCGCCTCACCAACCACCCCACGCCGACACCGACGCCCACCCCACGCCGACACAGACGCCCACCCAATGGACAACGAAGTTCTCTCACAGGCCACCCACTAGCCAACGAAGGCGGTTACCCCACGAGTACACGGGTTGAGTGACGAAAGGGGCTTTTTGTTGGGAAACCCTAGATAAATATTCAATAGAAACTATGCTGATAGGTGAGATTTTGAAGAAGATGATTGATAAATCAAGGCAACACCTACATCAACAAAGAGCAGCATCAATCATGAATTGATTAAGGACATAGGAAAATTTGGTGGTTAATTTTTGCGAGAAGAGAGAGCCGAAAGATGATAAAGTGGCAGTAGCACAACAAAGACACCAGCAACATCGCATCTAGAAGAAAACCAAAGGAGATAATTTTGGTGAAGAGAGAGAATAAGGGCATAGGCTGGCTTTAAACTTTGCAGACGCATGAATGGCTTCATCTGCTATTCTGCTGGCCTTTACATCACTTTTACTAAGATTACCAGCTTTCCCATCATTCCATCTTTAACCAAGTTTGTTTCTACTCTCTTAATCTCGTTCATCAATTCTATTAATTAAATGATTTTTGGATACCTTAAAAAATTTGAGATTAATGTATTATTATAGGTTACGATTGAAATTAAGGAATAGGTGGCCAATTTTTTTTAATCTATGAATTGATTGCTCTTAATTGGCAAATAGGAATTCCCATTGTTGTGTTTTATAATGAAATTGTTAGCTTTTGACTAATAAAATATGTTTAGGATACTATGTTTAATTATTGGTTTTTGATAAGGTTTTGAACAATTAATATGGGAATATCAATGTTTCATTAGGTGGGACAATTGGTGTTGTACTAGACAAATATTGTTCAACAAATGAATGTAGGCTTTATTTTGTTGCTTAACATAGTGCATTAACTGATTTATGTATCTTTAATCAGGGTTTTATGTGTAAAAATTTTGATTTCTACTTTAATTAGGTGCAATAATAAAATTGTTCAAATTGTTAATAGCTTATATTTTATTTTATTGTTTTTGATTGATTATTGATATTTCAATACTAATATAAGTGAGGTACAAGAACATGAGGAGGCATTGAAATGAAGTGGGGCTTGGAAGGATAGACAATGGAAGGTAGTGTCGACCACTGCTTTAACTTAAATCCAAGCTCATCTTATAATAGTCAGGTAATATGGACATTAGTGCATCTTACTCTTCTCTGTTTTTTTTTTTTTTTTTTTTTTTTTTTTTTTTTTTTTTTTTTTTTTTTTTTTTTTTTGTTATTCACAAAGAGGTTGTTCAGATAGATTAAGATGTAAAGAAGCTAAACCATTTAAATATCTGTATGGCAATCATCTTTTGAAATGTTAATTTTAGTTGAACTATGCAATGCTGCAATCAGATATTGGAGTGCTTGGAAAGAAATGAGGGATTCCCAAGTTAGTGGTGCAGCCATTAAGAACCCACATTTGTAAAGGAGTCTTAGAATGAAACTAAATTAAAAGTCATTAAAATAATTAAGGCTATAACATAAGCCAATAAAGATATCAATCAACTTAAAATCAATGATCAAAAAAATTGTCTGCATTTTGTTTTTTTTGGTTTCTAACTCGTATGCATAATAAGTTGATGAACATGGTGGAAGGTAAGTATTGTCTCTTCTGCAATTTTTGTTGACTTGTATGAAAAACTATATATAACATGGAATCAAAGGGCTAATAGTATATCTATTTAATATAAAAGTAAAATACTTAGAGGTAAAGGCTTGTGTTTAATTTCCAATTATAACAATATAATGCTTTAATTTCTAGAATTACATGGACTTTTCAATTCATGCTTGTGATTTGTCTCCTTGTATAAGATGCGGTATCATTGTATTTAAAAATATACTTTATGAAGCTAAGTGTTGTACTAATAAAAATCATCAAGTTACCTTCTTATATGCCATCGTAGTACTCTGATAAGCTATGTTTGTAATCCAACCTTGCTTCAATGATGGTGAGTTGGTGAAATAATATATTTATACTAGTAAGCTATGTACTATTTGACTTATATTTTCATTCTTTTTACATTTTTTTTTATACATTTATGTTAATTATTACATACAATTTTTTTATTGTATTATGACTCTAAGGTTCGCTCTCGATTTGCAGGGTGGGTTAGTTATGGGTTGGTTTTCCAATTCTCATATGAGAACAGAAAGAATGATATGGGATTATACAAAGTACTTGATTTGCAGTTTGCTTTTGGGATTTTCGTAAAAAAAAAAAAAAAAAAAAAAAAAAAAAAAAATAAAAAATAAAAAATCTTTTCAATTAATCTTTATTTCATTTTCAAATTCCCTATGTTCATTTTCTAATTAGAAATATTCCTTGGCTTTGTATGTTTTTATAGAAGCAAATAATACATAAAATAATTGCATTGGAATTGATATTTATTTGTTGGGAGTAAGAAGTCAGGAGTAAAATGTTGTATAATTTTGGAAGATATTTTTCAGCTTGCAAACGATTTCAATAAGGTTTCATGGGTTTTGTTTAGGTGTGACTGTGTGAGTAATCAGGTGGATCATGGAATTGCTCATGAGTTGCCTTGGGAATTGGGTAGGAAAGTTTGGTTTGAAAAACTTCCCTGTTATATGTTATCTTAGATACAAATTCTATTAGCTTACATGATAATTCTACCATATACCCTATTGTGAATTAGGCTGGATATTATTATTTTTTAAATATATAAATAAAACTGTACAGTGATATTTAGGAGGTGTTTAAAATGTTATTGTTATTCTATCTGGCAAGGGATCAATTACTAGTTTAAGTTGAATATGTGGCTCAAGAGCTATATAATATTGGTTATGGGAAAGTATTGTACCGGGGATGTTATGGAGTATATTATTTATATGTTGGATTGACTGCTAGTTTGGATGCAATATTCAGAGTATCATAGCTGTTGTGTAAAAATTTTGAAGTTTTGTATTGGCATATCAATTTAACTATATTGCAATGTCCCAATCATGGAAATATATAGTTTCACAGCTTCATGCCACTGTAATTCTTGAAGTATATTCTAAGTTTGATTATTATGCATTTTGTTCAGGTAACTTGATGCTCAAATTAATTTAAGCAATCTGCTCTGCCTGAAGGTAGATTAAATTTGACATGTTGGGTATGATAATTACAACCCTCTCATTGGATGGATTCATGGATCAGTTTGCTCATATTTTATATGCTTAATTAATTAATTCTTTTTTTTTGCTGGCTGTGTGTGGGCATGTTGTTGGACGCTGCTTCTCTAGATGTTGCTGCTACTGCTCTGCTGGCATGCTATTGCGACCATTGCTACTGCTGCTTTGTATGCCATGATGTAGTGCTGCTTCCGCTGTTTTACACTGCTGCTATGTTGCTATGTTGCGATGCTTACTGGAATGTTGCTACTGCTACTGCTCTGCTGGAGTTGCCACTCTTGTTGTTTTGAATTTTATTTTATATTTTAGTTTTTTTTTTTTGGAAGTGTAAATTTAGAATTATTAATGAAAAATATGAGTTTATAAATATACTACGTGTAATTTTACAAGTTATTAATGAAAAATATGAGTTTTATATACTTTGTGTATACAAGTTGTTAATAGAAAAAGTTGCATTTTTTAAGGAATCATAGTAATATTAGTATTTGTTGTAAATAATAATAATACTCCCTCCGTCTCAGGTTACTCGCAACAAACTAGGGAGTTGCGGACTCCTAGGCAAAAGTTCTTAAGCTTGATTATTGAAAAATTAGGGATACACTTAAGTACTAATCCAACCCAAAACCAACACCTAGCACCACCACCAACAGTCTACCTACCACCACCAACACCTACCACCACCAGTTCACCACCAACAGCTAGCACCACCACCAACACCTACCACCACCAGTCCACCACTAACACCTACCACTAACACCTACCACCACCAGTCCACCACCGAGCACACCCGAAACCACCCAACACCACCATTTAGCACCACGAAACCACTGTACCCACCACTAGGAAACCAGCAAACACCGAACCCACTACAATCCACCACCACCCACAACCCTGAACTCAACCCACGAATCCGCCACCACCCACAAATCCATCGAACATCGAACCCACTACAACCCACCACCACCCATTACAACCGACGAACCCTAGCTAAACTCATAATCCGAAATCCGCCACCACGAATCCACAACCCATCATCTTCACGAATCCACAACCCATCACACCCACGAATCCGCCACCAACAAGGAATCCATAACCCATCACCACCCACAAACCCAAATTTCGAACCCCACCCACGAACTTAAATTTTGAACCCACCACCACCACACATACCCAGATTTCGAACCCAAAACCCAGATTTCGAACTCAAAACCCACAAGCGAGGGCAACCGACAGCGGCGTGATTTCCGGCGAGGTGTTTCGGTTGAATTCAGGGTAGATTGGCGAAGAAAGAGAGAACTTCTGGGTATGGTGGTGGTGGTGATGGTGGTAGTAGTGGTGATGGTAGTGGTGGTGAATTTAGTTGGGAGGGGAATGATTTGGGTGGAAATGATTAAATGTAGAGTTTAATTTAATGAGATAAAAACAATAGTTTAACTAAGGTGTTTAAAAACAAAAGTAAGGGTAATTTTGTAAAATCACCCTTAAAAACTTACTAAAAAAGGAAAAAAAAAACTTGTTGCGAGCAATGTAAAACACCCATATTTAGTAATTGTTGTGAGTAATATGAAACGGAGGGAGTAAAATGTTACTAATTAATTAATAAGGTGTTGTATTAGTTTGTAAAAAGTGATACATAATTTCAAATAAAGTGTTATTATATGTCAAAAGATAATTAAAAAATGTTACTAAATAATCAGCAAAGTGTTACATTCGTTCGAAAAAGTGATATATAATATTGGATAAATTGATACTAAATGATTGAAAAATGTTACTAAAGATAAGTAAGTGTTACATAAGAAATAAAAAGTAACACTTTAAAAATGATACTAATAATATAAAAAGTGTTACATAAGAGGGTTTATAGTAATACTTTTAAAAGTGTTACCATATGTTACCCAAAGTGTTACATAAGACCTTACATAACATGGGCGGAAGTATCACCCAATAAAGTGTTACCTATTGTCTATAATAACACTTTTATCACTTTATATAACACATTTTAGGTGTTACTTGAGGTTAGTTTTGCACTAGTGATTATTCCCATCTCTTTTTTCATGAGACCACAAAACAGAATTAAAATTGCAGCTAATAGACAAGAGATCCTCTAGCACTGTGCCTCACTTTTGGCGAGGTTTCCAAGCTCCAAATTTCAATCCAAGCTCGGTGAAAATCATCCAAGTTACAGCCCTTACCTAGCGTATATGTGGTCTTTGCCGAGTATAGTCCGTCATTTGAAAAGGCCCAAGTCAGGGTATCACTCGGAGCTCTCAAACTCAAGAGGATGGCAAGAATGCAACGTTGGTATCTTTCATTGAAATTAGCAGTAATAGTATCAACATTCCACTCCATAATTTCCAGGTCAATAAGATCACATACCTGAGTTAAGCCATCAACTTCCGGGCTAGTAACAAACCGACCCTCGCTATCAGCAAGCCAGGGGTCCCTCCAAATGTTAACCTTCGAACCATTGCCAATGCGCCACAAAATTCCTTCCTTCAACAGTGCTTTTGTACTCCATATACTCCTCCACGAATAACTTCCCCCATATCCCAGGTAGGAATCCAGGAAAGTATCATTTGGGTAGTACTTTGCCTTTAATACTTTACTAGCAGTGAGTTTTCAAAATGCACAAGTCTCCATGCTTGTTTTGCGAGTAGCACCTGTTGGGGTTTGGTGAGTTCTACTCACCGCGGATAAGACCCGAGCCAAGGATCATGCTCGCAATAAATAATATCACTAATGTATAAAATAAACACAAAAGGGAAAAATAGGAAATATACCTTTGTCGCATGCTTCGCCCGACCGATTGGGCTCTTACTTGAAAGCTTAGCCCCGAAAACACGAGAGCCTCCGACGGAGATCCACCCGCAAAAACGACTACCGACTTTTAGGTCCGTTACCTCGAGGTTAGCGAGGTCCGACCAAAACCCGAGTATTATACGAGTTTAAGAGTTTTTGCAAATGCAATGCTCTATTGAACTCCTACTCAAGCACCATTCCCAAAAACCCAAGTTGGGTATTTATAGGGAATGGTGAGAGTGGGTATTTCTATCCCATCAATGTGGCACTATGAAATTCCACAATTTATTTTAAAGCTAAAATAAAATAAATAAGCAAACTAATAATAAATCCACAAGTGTCATTAATACATGCAAAGGGAAGTGAGGACCACTTGGAGAGGGGGGGGACCAAACTTGCTCCCCACTCCTTTCTCTCCTTGTGCCACATGTCGCTCACCCCTCACATAGTCACATGCTTCCCATATCCACGACCCTAGCTAGCCCGTGCCATGCCCAGCCATGGCCCAGCCTCGCACTTGGAGATGCGGGTTGCTGCTTGCGGCTAGCATGCTACGTACTCCAAGTGCGGGCTGCTGCTAGCATGGCGCGCATTCCAAGTGCGGGCTGCTAGCAACTTGCTGCCCTTTGGATGTCGCGGTTGCTAGAAATGGTGCGCTAGCACGTACCAGCCAGCCTTGGCTCGGCTTGGTGCGCATGCTAACCACCATGCTTGCGCGTTATGCCCCTAGCACTCGAATGCTTGGGACATTCTGATGCTAGGGGTATTTTAGGAAACATTTTCAATTTATTATTATTTGCGCGTCTCGTCATTTACTATTTTTAACTCGACTTCCGACGCTCGGTTTCGACGCTCTAAGCTCGAATTTCCGGCGTCTAAATATTTAATACTCGGGCGACTCATTAATTTCTTCCGAATTAATTCGTCGAGTCGGTTCGTTAATTGCTTGGGTGTGACCTGAAGGGTTCAGTCAAGATTAAGCTATAATATTAATTATACATTAATATTACTGATCGGAAGTGGCCTCCACCTAGGCATTCCGATCACTTGACCTTACTGAATATATTAGCTTTCTAATAATTCTGAACCCACTATCAGAATAATACACTTGTTCGAAGGACATCATTCCTTTCAGCGCCTCACTGAAAACTTCTAGATCCTTGAATCCCATTCCACCTAAGCATTTCGGGGTGCACATAAAATCCCAAGATTTCCAATGAATCTTCCTTCTCTGATTTTTTGACCCCAAAAAAACTTTGCCATTGCAGCCCTAATACTCTTTAAAACCGAACTAGGAAGCTCATAAACCCCCATCAAATATGTTGGTATTGCTTTAATTACCGCTTTGAGGAGGATTTCCTTACCGGCTCTAGACAACAATTTCTCCTTCCATCCCTGTAATTTCTTCTAGGTCCTATCTGTAAAAGCATTAAAAGTGGCCCTCTTTGATCGTCCTACAACTGTTGGAATCCTAAAATATTTACCATGCCTTTAGACTTGACGCATATTCAATACTCCCATCAACTCATGCCTTTTCTCGGCGCTCACTCCTTTGCTAAACAAAACTTCCAATTTTTCAAAATTAATTTTTTGCCCGAATGCTACTTCATACCGGTTGAGAAATTAGTAACCTCCTCACTCCAAAAAAGGCACAATATCTCCGCTTTTCCTTTACTCGCTACTCCAAAAGCATTCGTAAAATCGATAGTACCTTTGACTTGCTCCACTACCTCTTTACTGATCTTTGTTTCAGAGATAAACATTAGATCAGGGGTATTTTTCAAACTCCATTTTGGAAGTCGTCGAACTGTCTTAGGGTTACCATCCCTCGACAGTTCTAGCATAGCATACTCACGATGAGTGGCGGGGTTGGTCCTCGCCAACCTCCGCCGACATAATGTAATCCGAAGAATCTAAGAAGTTTAATTTCTTACTTTCACCTCCACCTTGATTTGCTTCCATACTACTAGCAGCAAAGGATCTTTTAAGTTTTAGTAGGGCCCTTCCTCACCATCTTTTTCCAGTGCTTTCTTCTTATCCACCCTCCTCACTTTTTTGCCCAATTTATTACTCTCTCCAGTGTCTTTTGGTCCCAACACAAAAGTGGTCACATTACTCACATTTTTGTCAAACAGAGAGCACTCTATCTCTGCATTCATTTTCAGCCCACTCTCCACCCCTATTACATCATTATGCCCCACATTATCAAGAAGTAAACCTTCACTCTGCTCACTATTTGCATTCCTCTCCTTCTCGGAATTCTGATAATTTTCATTCGTCCTACTTACAAACAGAGCCTTTTTACAACTAGGGATGTCACTAGCTTCCTCCAATTCTTTTGAACGCCCTTTTCATGGTGAGGCTTTGAGCCAGGTACCCCACCCTAAGCCTTTTTCCTTATCATCTTTAGTCACATTGGAACAATCCTTCTTAGTGTGTCCCATTATGCCACAAGCAAAGCAGAAGAACGGTAACCGTTCATATGCAAATTCAATAGTCACCTCCTTCTTGTTTTTGTCAATGATTTTTTGAAATCGTCTCAATGGTTTTGTCACATCCATTAGCAATCGGACTCTCCTGTATCGGTCCAGTTCCAAAACATCGTCTTCCAACACAATTAATTCACCCATCCCCTTGGTAATTGCTTTCACATGTTCATTCGTTCGACAATTAAAAGGGAGCCCTTTAATTCGCAACCAAAACAGGAAGGTTCGAAGGATTACCTGCTCTGGTTGTTCGTCCTCCTCTACATCCTTCAGCAGATCGTTAAAGGGTGTAACCTTCACCCTGTGAACGGTTTACAAGTTTCGAAAACTTCTTGGCGACTCTTTTACTCTAGCTTCCTTCCCTTTGGACGCCACCATGCTTAAGTGTATGATCATAGTGGGGCTCTAAGTGTGGGATGGCTTGAAATATTCCCTATAAAGACGAAGAAGAAGGAGTGTCGTTCTTCTTGTTTTTCCAAGTGTTGGTGTTGTTTTTTTTTGCTACCAGCGGTCTTCATCAACTCATCCTCGATAGTGATCCCAATATCGTACACAGATTCAAAGGTGTTCAAATGTAGAAACTTCAAGTGTTGTTTGTACTTATTAGTCAGATTTACAATAAAGAGGAAAACCATCTCCTTGTCCTTGGGAGGATCTACCAAGAGTGCAGTTGTTTCTCTCCACCTTCTTAGATAAGTAGTGAAGCCTTCATTCTCCTTCTTTTTGAGAATGGAGAGTTCGCGTTCAAAAGTCTTAGCTTGGATGTTACATTTGTAACGATTCATGAAGCTTTCAGTGTCGTCCTCCCAAGTTGCAACATGCTTGGATTCTAGAGAGTAGAACCATTGTTGACTGGCATGCTCCAAGGAAAGAGGGAACACAGTAGGGAAGAGTGTCACATCTAATCCCTTAAGAGCCATGGTTGCAGAAAAGGGCTTCAAATGGAACATCGGATTAATAGTAGGCTTGAACTTGGGAATGTCAGCAGTGGAAAACTTCTCAGGAAGCTTGTCTCTTATGGAAAAAGAGGTGACAGGTTGCTCCACATAGGTGAATTCTTCAGAGATTTATGGACAAAAAGGTGACAGGTTGCGCCACAGTGACATTGTTTTATTGTCTTTCTCTACTGTGTTGACTCTAGTAGTGAACGCTTGCATCATGGTAGACAATCTCTCGATGGACCTGTTAATGTTCTCAATATCCTCCTTAGAAGTAGGGGTGATAAAAAATTTCGGGTACCCGATTTTGGAACCGGAACTGGTTAGGACCCGACGGGTCTAGACTCGGAACCAGTCCGGTGAGACCAGGTCCAGTTCCAAAAAATTGGACCCGGTTAAAACCAATTCCAGTTCCGGGTCTGAAAATTTTGGACCCAGTAACCACTGGGTACCCGGTATTGGAATTTTTAAAGTAAGCTTAGTATACAACCCATGAGAAAATTAGGCCCATTTGTCTATTAGCCTACAAAACCCTAGTATCATACGTAGTGGAGTATCCTTTTTGTCAGCCTCCTTCAAACATTTCTCCAATTCCTCTTTCAATCTCTCTACCTTTTTTACTTTTTCTCAGCTTCATCATCCAAATTGATGGATCGTTCTCTTCAATCTCCTGGCTTTCTCTCTCCTCGTCCACTTGGTCATCATCCTCGACATGAATTATCCATTCTTCTAGTGTCCTCTTTTGTTTTTTGAATATTATAGTAAAAAGTTATAAATTCTAATTGTATAATTGTCGATAAGTGAATTGCTTTAGAAGTTGTGTTTGTTAAACATATTTTTTATATATATTTTTGGATCTTTATTATGAATTACTAGACTTGAATTTTGCTTAGTGTTTAGATCTAGATTATTCTGATTTGTTAGAGTTGTTCTAAACTTGCCTAATTTTCTACTTACAATAAAATTTGGTTTTAAAAAAAATAGCAGTAGGGAAAGAACCGGGTGCCCAGATTTGGAACTAGTACCTACCAGTTCCGGGACCAGTTCCTGAAATTTTAGACCCGGTATAACTGGTTCCAATTCCAGTTCCAAATTTCAGGAACTGGTTATAACCAGGTCCGGGTCCGGTTCCATAAAATCCAACCGGGTACCCGGTTATGCTCACCCCTACTTAGAAGCCATTAGTCGAAAGTAAACTGGAGATGATTGTGGTAGTTTTCTTGAACGCCTCTTAGGTATAAGAGGTTGTTGAGGTAGTGACTCAAACCGTAACAATCTACCCTTGCTTCTTGATCAAGTGCTGTGACATTTAAACAAACACACCTTTAATGACTAGACTTAACCTTGACCCATCCGGAAAAGAAAAGGCAAGAATAAAAAACTTTGAAATTTTTTTTTAGAAAAAAAAGTATGGATGGGAGGATACCTTCTGACTTACTCCGAAAAAAAATGACACGAGACCATCCTAAAGTACGATTATAAAATGGTGCACGACTCAAGGAAAAGTGTGTGAACTTGACACAACATGTGAGTGATTAAGTGAGGATATGGACACGTGTTATGACCGTACATCTAGCCATGACATCAAACCGGACATACGAAGCACATAAGCACGCACAAAGACCAAAAGAAGACTGACTGGACCAAACTCCTGGGCACCATGTCACGGTGCTGGTTGCCGTGACACGGTACAATGCACCGTCATACGGTACAAAGCACCATGTCACGGCACTGCACACCGTGGCGTGGCAGAGCTGCCGTGACACGATGCATAGTTCCAGGTCTAGTTTTGTGTAATTTCCAGGTTTTTATCAATTTTTTAGTCCGTACTAATTACTATGTGGAAATAAAATCCCTCGGTCATATGTTAAACAAAATGAACAAACACATGTAGGTTAGCACCAAATAAACTATGTAGCACTTAGTCACGATGATGCAAAAAAAGTTCGCAACCTAAGGTCAAGATCTATGTTTAACTATTGGTCAAGCTTTGGGTGTTGTAGGGAATATTTCAAGAATTACCCCTAGCTTGAATCACACTGTGATCATACACTTAAGTACGGTGGCGTCCAAAGGGAAGGAAGCTAGAGCAAAAGAGTCGCCAACAAGTTTTAGGAACTTGTAAACGTTCACGAGGTGAAGGTTACACCCCTTAACGATCCAGGAGATCGTCAACTCCAATAGGTCTGGAACCATGACTGGTGTTCGGGGATGAAGGTACAAATCCAACCTAAAAGAGATTGAACCTGCCCTAATAATAGGCCTCTACTTTATTCTGATCATATTCATGTGCGCTTTCTGACTAACATGCAATCAATAGGATTCACCCTAAACCTGTTTATCTATGTTGGTTGAATATTAATGTAAAAATAAAACTATTATTGGTGATCACTTGAGTTATAATCAAATTAACCCTAAACAAGATTATTAATTATCTTATTAAGAGTGATTACAAGTACCAATTCCCTTTAAACATGAAAGACGTGATCAAGCAATAACAATAAATATCAAGCAACATAATAAATAAGAATAACAATTATCATAATAATAATAATAATTAAAATAATCATGGTCATAAATTATAACAATTATAATCATAATTAACATAATCATGTTAAAGCATAATAATAATAGCAAGATCCTAGGCATGATACTAACAAGATTAATAACAAACCCTAGAATGTCACTAAACATTAAAAATCAAATATGTAGCCCTAACATGATACTAACAAGAATAAATATTAGGAAGAACATAAAAGGCATCATAGTTTTAATCATACTTGATATTAAAATTACCCTAGACATGACACTAGGAAGATCAAAACACCCTAACATGACGCTAGGAATCATAATAACAACCTAAGCATGATTTCTATATCATAATATCAATAAAACCATTAAAACACTTACTTGGATGCCTCGTACCTCTTTCTAATAACAAAATACACACGTAGTAACTTCAAGGAAAATAATAAAAAAAACAATTAAATTAAATAATTGAAATAGAGATTTGGGACCAAACCCTCAGAAATTAAAACCTTTCACGTTTAGGGCGAAGGCAACTTCGAACAATGCCAGGTATGCCTAGTGCTAATGTATGAGGAATTGTGTTTGTAAAAGGCTAGGATAGAAAGAGATAGAGAATCAAGAATTTTTTGATGAGAGTTGATGATTGAAAAAGGGGAGATATGGCCTCTATTTATAGACAAAAAAGAGAGCCGAAGAACAAGAAAAGAATCCGAATTCGAATCGAAACAGAACTAGATAGACATCAGTTTTTGCGGATTTTGTTTTTATCATATCTTTTGATCCAGAAGTCTAAATAAGGCATATGATAAGTCGTTGGAAATCTCTTGAAGTCTACTTTCCAACCCAATTAGAATCAGATTAAAATATTTTGTAGATAAAAATATATGGCCGAAATAGTAGGATGGTGTCAGTTTTGGATAGAGTTTCATATCTTATTCATATCTTATTCGTTATAGCTCGAATTTAATAGTATAATATATCATTGGAAAGATAATTTCAAGATCTATCCAACCATATAAAATTTGGATAAAAATTATGAGGCACGAAAATAAAATCTGACTGTCTTTGAACATCTTTAAATTCGAATAGAATTAGGATTAAAAAAAAAGGAAAGTTTTAAAAAAGGAAAGTTTTTATTTAACTCAAATTCTTTAATCTTATCTTTTCAAAAGGGATAATTAAGATCTTTTAGAAATTTTTGGAAGCTTCTAATTAATACTAATTAGTTTAGGATAGGATTAAACCATTGGACCCTCCACATAATCATTGGGTCGTAGACAAAATCCGGTTTGGGCCCAGTTTAATATTTTGGCCATAACTTCCTCAATATTCATCGGAATTGGGCTTATAATATATCGTTGGAAAGGTCTTTTCAAGACCCATACAACAACACCATTATTGTACCCATATCATGGACCAAACTAAACTGGAATTCACGTTTTCAAAAATAGGGTAAGAAAAGAAATATTTTCAACAACAGAAAGAAGAGATATTTTAATAAAAACATCCTCATCACTAGACTTTTCACACTTTCGCTTCGTTTGATAATCAAATGACATGAAAAATAATCATCACTGGGTTTGGTTTTGGGGAGACACATTTGGGTGTCTACAGGTGTCAAAAGGGTACCATGGTTAAGAGTTTGGACGCGTTAGCAAGGTAACCTCCCTTGAGGGT